CCCCAAAACCCCAAAACCCCGTTCGATGGAAATTTCAGTATTAAAATTATAGTAAATTAAATTAATCAATTCTATGGAAGAGAGATAATACAAACGTTTTTAAACATAAATGAACTCTAAACAGAAACAAATGCAGTCATCCTCCTTCAATAACGACTATAAGATTTAGGTAAAGTTTACTCCTTTGCTTAATACTTTTATCTCAACCAAAATAAATATCACATTAATCCTGATTTAATGCTTCAATTAGGTCCTAGTTAAAGATGGGTTAAATATCAAGAGCCGTATTGATCAAAATGGAATTTTCAAAAGTAATCTAATACTCCTTCTAAATGCAGAGTGAATCTAAATGTTTTTGTATAGTTAAACAGCCTACCTCACAAGAAATGACAATGGCTGATACCACAGGACATAGTAATCACATAAAGAGATCCATCAATAACAACGAGAATCAGAATATAAATAACAATGAAAATAGAAAGAGTAAGTATTCACCTCTGCATTTGATGATTCTATCTACATGACTTTCTTTTCCAAAGAAAAATCTTATTAAAGTTTTATGTAATTAGGTGAAATCGATTAGAGATAAATGAAAATTCTCTCCTAAAACAATCAGGCCTACAACAAATTCTTTAATGTGACTAGTTTACTTGACAAACTCACTCGAAAGGGAGTGGCAACTTAGAGACGCTAGGAAACAGCTAGCAGTCTAAAGATCATTTTCTAAGATATTATGGTAGAAAACTTAGAACAAAAAACGCGACTTGACAAATTTTACAATAATAGCAGCGAGTCCGCCAACGATAGCTCTGCTTCCAGAATCAAAGAGAAAAATACTGCTGGCTCGATAATTGATAATTTTGGATCTGCTATCAATACTGATGATGCCTAGTTACTAGAGTAGATATCCAGACTACAGGCAAAAGTTTGGTCGTTGCAATCAGAGAATGATCTTCTAAACTAAAAAATGATTCAAATGATATAAAGCAAAGAATAGAAGGATCACTAAATGAAGACAATAAATAAATAAATTGAAGTTCTTCTCTAAGAAGCTTAACCAAAGGGTGCTAATGGCTAAAATCAATATCTAAATACAAATGGATCGAATATAAGTTCTCACAAGAATAACAGCGGCTTGAATTTAGGAGGAGCTAGTGCTTTGAAATCACCTCAGAGTCATAAAGAAAGAGAGATGACATTTTAAAATCAAAATTTCAGTTCAAAAAGCAACTAAACTTAATCAGATTTAAGTTACAAGGGAGGTAATAGACATTAAAGAGGTAAATATAGTGGAGGCTAAATACCTCATACTCATTCAAATCAGTAGTTTAATAATCTTCTTTCATCTGAGCTAGATGCAATTGAGTCCGATAAAGAAGGGGAGGATTTTATATAAAGTTCTATAAATAAAAAAAACCTTAAGATGAAGACTACCGATATAAACGAAGAACTATTTGAAAACAATGATCTCTTCGGATACGGCAATAAGAATAACAATAAGTATGAAGAGACTAAAGAAAATCTCAGATATCAGCACATCTTTGATACTACAGATAACTTTGAGGACTAGGATCACAAATAAGAAGAGCAAAATTTATCTAGTGAAGACTACGATTCAGACCATTTAATAAACAATATTAAAAAGAATATAGATCAAATAAGAAAAATAACTACATCAAGTGGCAGACCAGCAGGTGTTACTCCTGGGTACCATATGCGTCGAAAAAGCAAATATGCTCTAGATTAGCATCGATAAGAATCCAGGTCTTTCAAAGAGGCTCCAGGATTTAACCTAAGATCAAAATCATTTATCAGAACAACTTCTGGAATGGGCTTAGGTATTGATGACAACATGATTAGCGCAGAACAGAACTTTTTGACTACAAATTTTGGTGTGAATCCCCCGGCTCTGTAATAAGTGAATCACACTCCATCAAGATCTGGTAGCCACATGGGTAGATCAGGTAGCGAAGCTCCGTATTCTTAGTCAGCTGGTACTAAAAGATTTGGAAGATCTGTAGGCCGTGATAATAAATTTGAGCCAAAAAGTACCTGGGAGCCAAATGAATAAGGTGATCAGTGCAAAATATGCAATAATAAATTCTCAATCCTTAAGAGAAAGCACCATTGCAGAAAATGTGGATTGTAAGTCTAGAGAATTTATCTAACTTATATTATAGATTGGTATGTGCATCATGCAGTGGAAATAACTGGTATGTCCCAGGGTACGCTGATCAAAAAGTCAGAATGTGTGATTCGTGTTATAAAGAGTGGATGGCTTACAAAGTCAGTGCTCATAACATAAATAAAACATCAGTGTTCTCTTCTTATTTTGGCAATAACTAGATACAACAGACTAATTCTTGATACAGATGATTTCTCAATAGATAGATTCCTTGATTTCTAAAATTTTGCTATTTATCAGCAGTTGGATTATGAAATTGAGAAAGTCTTTAAAGTGTAATTAATCTTAGAAACTTTTGTTAGTCAATAAGTATTTAGATCAATGTATTTAAAAACTTTAAAATCCTCTAAATTTGTTTTATTTCGTATAGCTGGGGTTTTGGGGTTTTGGGGTTTTGGGGAGATCGGAAGAGCACACGTCTGA